ATGAACACACTTAAAACACAAATTTCATTCGCGCACGAAAAAAGATAATTGCCGGTTATAGTCTTGCGGAAACTTGCATCATTTCCTAGAAATCCTTCAAAGGCGTAGCTCTTAGATAGAGAAAATGCTGTACGATATCAGAGGGCGCCGCACTGCATAAATGTTCGGTTTCGGTTACGGCGATTTGGTTGGCCCCATTGCCATTGCTATGTGGGCTGCTCCCTGAGCCAAGCTCGCAGTCCCACCCGCTTCAATGCACTGGACACATTGCTACTTCCTTTATTTTCAGAGAAGTCTCTAGATCCTATTGTCAAATATTTTGAGAAAGATTTATAGTGCTAATTCTATTGTTTTACCCTTCCGAAATTACTACTTTAATGCTTTAAGTGTAATAATTCCGAAAACTGAACTCTCTTCGCACAGAGCCGACTATTTTAGTTTTATGTTTTTTATCAAAGCAACAAGTTCCTGTGTATTTTGTGAATTATTGCAACTACCAATTGTAATACATGCTAGTGCTTAAGTTTGCCTTTATAGGAGAGAGGAGGGAAGTCAATTCGAACGCGAATCCGGTGCGTGAAGATCGTGAGGATTCCCTCTCCTGGTGAAATCTGCTTTCCGGTTCATCTATACTTACTATCCCCGTTCTTTCTGTATACAATGCCTAATAAAGCTACTGCAACTAACCCTCTCTTAAAGTCCGAGGTTCAAGGACGTGAGAGTATGCAGGCGGACTCTACACAAATGAGTCCCTAATAAGTGAAAAAAGAAACATTAAATACTTTGCCTCAAATTTTCCATTTTGTAGTAATAAATAGTAGCTTTGCACGTGGACTGGCCGAGTATCAGTTTTGGTGCTTTGGTGTCCAAGATCAATTGAGAAGACGCCAAAAAACTCAATCAAAAAACTATTCGAACTTTCTACAAATCAGGGAACCATACAGTGCCCTTATGTATTTGCAATGTGCTAATTCGCAAATTATAATGAAAGAATAGTATCTGGGTTCGCACGCACGCCGCGAAACTAGAGATTTTAATCATGTTGATGGAGGCCACGTCAGTAGAAAAGAGCATCCAACCATAGCAAACGAACTCCCGGTTGACTAAGCATTTTGTGAAAGCACATTTACGAAGGCTGAAGAATGCGAGCATAACTCCACTACAACCATTTTTTAAGCTAAATGATGAGCCGAGGCAATTTTACTTATAAGCGACACTTTCCTTTATTTTACGTAATATGCAAACTCTCTCTTCATTCGAGAATCGTACTGTCAACTTTTTCTTAATAAACCGAATAGCAAACAATGTTGTTAAAATACTTTGTGACCATTTAACGTTTGGTGGGTATTTCGGTAGTTGTCTTGCACTTGTGCGCATGGGCTTACCTTCGAACCAAGCCAATGCCAAATCTCTCCCCTTCTCCACTTGAATCATGCATTCAGCCCAATAAATGCCTCCTCCTACTCAGTGGAGAGTCCGATTAGTTGGCTTCTTGAGCTCGACGTTCTGTATAAATCATTGCCTCTTGCCTTTAGACATTTCAAAGGGCTAATATGTATTACACATGTGGGTTTTGAAGTCTCGGAATACTATTAGTTTGTTTACTGGATCATCGGTATTTGCGGCGGTAACTTTAACATTTGTCCTGCTCTTGTATGCGTGGGCTAGGGTTTGGGCTCTATCCTCCTTCCTCTCTAAGAACACACGTCGTTTGCTAAACTTGACTTCGCCTTCTACCTGGAGGAAGTCTCAAATCGCAACATTAGTAGCAGCAAAAATGCAAACCTGATTTTTTCATAACGAGTTCTATCCTAGTATCCACCATTTGCTACATGTGTCTACGGCGCAAAGGAAGAGCATTTACATCAAGAAGAATATAGTCTGTATTACTTGCAGCAGGAAGGTTAAGAACGTCGCTAACATTTTGATTTACATCGCATCCGTGTATCACGGACAATCCACTAACAACTGAACCAAAACTCCTGTGAACCATGTGGAAAATTTTTGCGTCAGCTTTTTTCTTACTATACCCAGTAAAGATGTCAAAGATGATACTGCGACGAATTCCTTTCTACAGAGAATTGCATTTGATCCCGTTTTCACTGATGAAAGTCCGTTTTATACAAGTATGCGTCTCCGATTCTGGCTATGAGGGCAAGTGCAACCCCAAATTCAGTTGAAGCTGCTGAGGAGATTAAGCACCGTTCCTTAGTCTTATGGTATGTGCGATGGTTGGAACGCGAATTGATGGTATAAGATCTGAGCAAAATTCATATAATACATACAACGCAGTCTCAATATCCAGCACACTTAATAAAGATATTAAATGATACACTTGTGTGGAAAACGTAAAGGTTAAACCCAGATTATTTTAGAAAATGTTTTTATCTATGTTTATTTCAACTCATAATGCGACCTTGACGCCGACAGCGAAGGCGGGGAGTGAGCGGATCGTTAAACTGGAGGCGTTTGTCGCATTTGGATCGAAGGTTAAAATCGTACAGCTAAAGCCCCTTTGTTTGGAAGCACATGAATGGACGGGACACTAAAGTCTAAGGTAAATTGAGTAACATAGCGCGTTTTGCGTATAAGATTGAGGTAGTATTTCACAAGACAGCTTTCTTTCTGATATATTTTCTTCGGAAAATTTATGTAATGATGACGTTAGTGTTGGTAAAATGCTACCAAGCATTTTGAATCGTGGTATAATTGCCATTCACTAATCAGCAAGTTGTTTGATTTGTGATGCATCGCTGAATTAGTTTAAAGGACTAAATTGTAGAATTATGGATAAATGGCTATACATGTTTTGAGTAGTAAAGCTTGTAGCTCTATAATATTATTTTCTTGAGTTTAGATTATTCAGAGACGGTTAATAATATTTTACACTTATAAAGATATAATCCTAAGTGACTAGCAATCACATCAAGGTTAAATAAATCATTTCACGATTTACACACTATTTTTATCTTAGCTGGGAATTTAGGGCAGCACTTGAGACTTTTTTTGGAAATGAGGAAGTCTTTGCCCTTTAGACTGGCTATTAATGAAATTCTTGGGGTCATTGTCAGCCCTCTGAGTTTAAAGTAAATTGGACTAATAATATTTAACTCAGACAAAGTTTGAGCTGATTTTCGCGTGACTTGGTGTAGGTTTGGTAAGTTTACATAAGTAATTAGGTTCTAAGAAACAAGTCCGGGAAATCTTTTCGGTCCTACGAGGATTTAGCATTAAAATCCAAATGGAGCGGCCCTGTTTTCCTAACATGTCATTGCAGTCCCCCTTGAGTCTCTGTTGCATTGTTTTCAACTTTCTGTCGGACTTTGCACAACAGAACGGTACTATGTTTCAAAGCAAGGCTACTCTTCCTGACGGGACAATAGAAATAACTGATACGTTACCAAAGCAGGATTACTACAAAAGCCTTCGGCGAAGTAGTGTCAGCTCACCTGGTTCTCAGTTTACGATAAACAATAGCACCAACGTGTATGACGCAACAAGTGGATATAGAAAGTCAAAAGCGATCGAGTACAAACCGTCAGGAAAGCAAGTTCAATGTTCTGTTCTTATGCTGGAAGGCATAGAGCAAATATACACCATTGATGTACGTCTATTTGTTACTTTTATATTTTGCAAGTATCATACATTAACCTTAGTTTGTGCGAAATTACAACTTGAACTTCTTTTTCTTTTCCGGTTAATAGTCAAGAAAGAAATCAGAATTGGTGTAGACGTAAGGATTAATCATAGTGAAATGTTCGTTGCAAAGTAGTGGTGGAGAGACCTAGATAAATAGTATCGGACTTTGTTCCTCAAGTTGATTCAAGCGCAATTCAACCAAGCCTTTTTGGTTTTTACTGTGGGTTCCCTTATTATCGCTACTAAATCCAAGCGCAATTTGTGAATTTAAGCCGCAAAATTTAGGTGTGGTTAAGATACCATTCATATAGACTCACATTTCCTCAATTGACACCTGACAGAAGCCCTTAGACCTAGGAGTAGTATCGACACTTTAAGCGCATGTTTATTTGTGATGTTGAAGCATTCACTATGCTTTTGCATCCGTGCTTTCGGTCAAGTGTCTAATTGATATGGCAGTAATTGTGGTATGGGTCCTGTTTAACTTAAAAACACTAAACTTTTACTAGTCGAAGTAACTTTCGAAAAGTGTCAAAAGAAGCCGTTTATCAGTTGGCACCCCCTAAACGTTTTAAGAGTATTTCATCCTTTCGTTGCGTCCTATTCTCCAACCCTTTAAATTATTGGACGAGTCGTAAAAGAGCTTCCAGAGTAAGTATTCCGCATTGAAAACACCACGAAACACTGCCTAATTCTCCCACTCAATTGGGTGAGCAAACTAGCTATACTTTTGCCCGCAGAAGAGCTCCATGCTTAGACACACCAACAAAGGCCTAATTATAAATCTTTTTTGTCTATTCTTTGGTGGTAGCTAATATAGGGCAATTTTCTGAATAAGTTCTTATATATTATACTCTACAGAATAGTAGTGCAGGTGGACTAAATTAGGTCGCAAGGAAGTATAAGCCCTAGAGCATTGAAGCCTATCAAACCTCAGGGTATTTGCGCGGAATAAACCGTTCTGCAACGAAGAAAAACTCCGGTTACAGCATATTTTGCAGATTTCTAAGGAGAGTGCAGAATTGCCATCGTCAAAGGAGACCTCCAAGTGTGCAGTGTTGCAGATTAAATGATTGCAGTCAATGGTCTCTCTTTAAACCGTAAAAATACCACTACTGGGATAATAAAGCATTAGATGCGTACGAGGAATGGAGCTGGAAGTGACATTGAAACTAGTTGTGTGGGTCAAGTGTTCCATGTCGTTACTCCATTTTACTTGTCTATTGCAGCGATTTATGCGCAATCACTATCTCACGGGATGGCGCTCGTTTTAGGCTGCACTCACTTAAGAAAAGGTTCTAGCTGTCCTCAATTACTTTGCATTGCCAAAAAACGCGATCCTTTTTTACATAAAATAAACCAATAAGGTGCTGAGGACTCTGTTATTTCAAATCCCGACTTTGTACAATAACATAAGTAACTAAACCTAGTGGTCATTAACTTGCATTAAAACGATAGGCTCCGTGGTTCATACAATTGTATTCTTGGTATCAGGTGAAGGCGAATTTCCGCCATATCAGAAAAATGTTGCTGTCTGCAAGCGGTGCTCATTCCCGGTTGCATGACTTGTTTCGTCATCATCGTCTCAAACGAGGCCGCTTCCTCGGTGCTGCAGTACAGCACATTCGCACATTCACAAGGGTGGAAATAGTGAGCTATCTTGTGACCTGGTTTCCTCGAGTCTGCTTGCAGGTGCAAAGAGCAAAAAAGAATTGGGAGGCTGATCATTCACCCCGAGTTAGCGCACCGCTTAGCATCACCTCTTACCTGCGGGTGGGCGCGCAAGTGTGCGTGCGTGCGTGCGTGGGCGCCCGCCTGTGCGCCTGAACGTAGGCCAGCACGCATCTCAGATGAGTCATCAGTGTTCTCCATGGGGGGCTTCCGCGCCTCCACAACTCTCGCAGACTCTTGCATTGCCTCTGTGCTCCTCTAAGTGTCTACGTGTACCCAACAGATTGTGAAACAGAATTTGTGCACAGTCGCTTAGTTCATTGCAAGCCTGCTTTCACAGGCACCACAAGAGAAATTCAGGCCGTTGACAGAATTTCAACCACAACTCAAAGGGGCTTTGAGATTGCCCCAATCCTAGCAACCACTCTACTCCAAAAGTATGTCAGTGGTGCAGGGAGACTTATAGATTTTGACCCACTTTATGCGACATTCAGAAGGCGAATGTTTAATTGAGTATCTGAATGAACCTCAGTTTATAAAGTTGGATGTGTTTCGGTCCCTTACGCCGAATGGAATTTAAGAATTTGAAAATGCGATTTGAGCTGTGAGCTTTGTGCCTTTGGCAATCATTGTGTTTTCCAACTTCCTGCAAAAGCACTTATTTTTAACCACACGAATAGGCAGCATTGCATGTGGTTTTCGAGTGGATTCTTCAGCTTTAAATTTACTCAAAACAACTTGGAGCAATTTTCTTACCCAGCACACCATTTAGTATGATTAAACAAGTTAACATTCCTGAACCATGTTTTGGTAATTTTAAAGGGGTACTAAGAGATTTTACAAATCTACAGTCATTAGTTTGGTTTTTTCAGCCTCTTTGGTTTTACCGTTGCTATGGCTTGCACTAAACAGTCATTTTATGTCTTGTTGAAGTGACTCCCCATACGATAAACATGAGTGCTCTCAAAATGGCATAATTTGGCATTCTGCTTCACAACTCTTCAAAGACCTCGATTGGCCTCTGCCATGTGCTTCCCAAGTGCATGTCATACACCCTTTAATCGGTTCCTCTAGTTGGTGTGATTCATCACTTTTAGGAAAACGGGCGTAAAAAATTGCCGTCATGTCAACGAGCATCCTTCAAAAATGAACATTTCAAATAAAAAGTACTGTTGTACAGTTTGTGTTAAAATGTTAGGTAAATCTCTTTCACTTGCAAACCGTGCTTTAGAAGCAAGCTAAAGTTCTTGCGTTTCCCCATCATTCAACGAGTATTCCATAAAACAGAATCGCAAAGGGACTCAAGTGTTGTGGACAAATGGAGGACATCATTGCAGGGTCTGGATCACGATTGCCTTTTATATAGAAATGACTGAAGTGGGGCATGGGAAGTTGTGAGTGTTACTAACATTTCAAAATGCCGTATAATTTAGGCAGAACGTCTTTTTCGAACTCAGTGCTTTTGGCTGCTAACGTTTTAATTCCGCTTTCCTGCCTAAAATATCGTCCACTTCTCCAATACTCAGTGACATTTAATGTTTCCAAGATTGTAGTGGGCATTGTTGAAGAAATATAACTTTACTTTTAGAAAAGTCTACTTGTGTGTATACGCCATGATGTCGAATTTGTAGGATGGTAGAGTAATAACGACGACCATAACCGAAACTTCAGAATTTTTTAAATAGGCAGCTAAAATTTGACATCTAGCATTTGTCTCCTCATACGTTTAATGGAGAATGATACTATTCTCCTTCTAATGCTCCGTTTTACTTTGAATACTTGCTGGCGATGTTCGATTTCTGAAACCTTCTTCCACGAGGCTTTCATCCCACTATAGGCGGTCAGCAAGGCATCTAATGTCGATCAATTTTATATCCTCTTTAGAAACATTTCTACGGCATCCACCTCTTCAAGTTGATATGCGAGAAATTGGAGCTAACAGAAACTGAGTACTTCGGCTTCACTTATCGAGGAAACCACAATGTAGATGTAAGTCTATTTAGTTTGTGCGAGTTTTGTGATGCCCTTTAACAGGACTCATCATGTGGCCCGCAGAACTGCTTTAAGTCACCGCTTTGGTGGCGAGCTGGTGACCTGTTTTTGTGGGGATCCGCTCGTACGCGAATGTCAAATAGGTAGTGCGACACTTAGAGTTCTCGAGGGGTCATAAAATGCAACAACAAGATCCATAACCCCTTTTCTTTATAGTTATTTTGATATTTAAAGTTAAGTAAGCCATGCAACTAGGAATTAAGTTGCAACCTTATTGTCTGGCAAAGGTGCCTTTAAACTGCGTTGTAATAAAAGGATTTTGGAGTTGGATTTGGTGTAATCTCATGAAAGCCGGTGCTCAAGGTGGCTGACGTGACCATTTATGGGATTGAATTTAATATTTACAACTGTTATTTGTAGCCGTCAAAGTAGGCGTGGCATCTCGTTTCTCCACCTTTTCTGATTGGTTTTTGCTCCTTGAGGGACAATAAAACCAGTGACATTGGTCCACTCAATTTTCATATTTTGACGAAATCCGTTTTCAGTTCAGTGTCGAAAAGATCAGCTCGTGTAAAACACCCTAAAGGAAATCCAGTAAGAATGATTAGGTTTATGAACCTATACATACAGTGAATAAGAAGTTGCTTAGACTGATGCGTATCATACAGTTTGGGAAACTAGTACCTTGGGTACGCTATACCACGTAACATCATTGCATGAATACTGCGTGGGATTGTATGCGCGATGACAAGCGGCCACCATTCACATCTTAAACAGGTCTCATGAGTTCTCATGGCTTTCGAGCAACAAATTCGCATAAGTGCTTCATTTTGGCCTCAGATGTGTGCACAGTATTCATGAGTTGTGGATTCCAACCATGCAATGCATAACTTTTCTCTGAACGGGCCTGGATTATGTCGTTCCTTTAGTTACTTTCGGTGCACAAACTTCTGACCCATGACACATCTTCGCCACTTGGCGGACATCTCTACCTCGTTTGGCTATCTGCAGGCACCAACCTCAGAACTTGTAACAGTTTAGTTTAAAATTTTATCCAAATCAGCTGGAACACATGTTTGCGGATTACCAATTGGAGAGCTGTGACTAATGTGTCTTGCTGCATGTAGTATTTACTGTTTAGTTCTTAATAAGTCAGAGGCGGCTAAAAGGTGTAGTACAAGTCTTTCTGAAACCTTAAGACTCACATTCATTGAGGTTGATGATGCTTGTATTTTCATTAAACGACTACTTATCGACACTGCAAACAAAGGAGTGACACATTTATCATGAACCTTTTGAAACAAAAGCTACAACCCCAAAGTTACCATAGAGAGTAGACATTTTCAGTTATGAGGCATATTTTATGGACACTATCTGTCTCAGCATTGCTAATAATGTGCATGAATTCTTGCAAAAATAGTTTAAAGTGGATTGCCATTCTGTCATCGGACGGCAAGAGAATAATTGATGTGCTACAGGAAGCACAGCCTACTTGTCAGGCAATGTCAATGTGCGTCTTTGAAGGGGCAACGGCCAGAGGCTTGTCCACACTCCCATTTATGATGGCATTCTCTTGAAGGCACTCAAAATGATCCAAATTTTCCACACCTCTGTCATATGTGACTTTTATGCCAGCTTACTTGCTGCTAAACCAGTCTTCTTTCTTTCCGCTTTTCCCAGTGAGATTTTTCGTTGGCACATGATTTGTGTTGCATCCTAGGGCGTAGATTCTCAATTCCATCTATCTCTTGAAGCGAATTTACCAGATGGTTCTTCTCTTCCATTCTCTTAAAACACCCTGTCTTATTTACTTTTAAAGGATTGCAAAAACGTATTGAGCTATCGTCTATGTTAAACTTATTTTTCATCTTAAGATTGTGACTGTACAAACTTAAGCTACTGTACTGAATGATGCTTTATTGCTAAGCTGGATTCGTTTTATTTGTTTATTCGTTGTTTCAACTTAGTTTAGTTTTGCTACCAAGCCACAAATAATGAGCATTTTATGCATTTAAGCGTCGTGCCGGCGACTGGGCCGTGAATTTGTGCCTCTCGTCTGAGTGCTATCTCTTAATAGGCATTAGTTTGAAATTCCACCACGTGACATCATTTTTGTCTCAAAGGGGGCGATTGTTTCTGCTCGTTCATAAACGCCTTTGTGGGTTCATCACTTGACTATGTTCTGAACAACATGGTAGTAAATCTCAAAATCTATGGATATGTATAACCTACTCGCTTCGAAGTCAAAGCCTTGTTTTTATGAGAGTCTGTGGTATAACATCAAATATCTGTTGTCATAGCAATAACAATAGATGGTACGATGCCCATTTGCCCTGCCTCTGTTCAGGAGAAAGTAAATGGAGTTTTCTTTTTGGTAGATGTGGCTGAAAATGGATGAAAAAATTACGAAACAGCTTGAAAGTACGTATTTTTACTTGTTTTATTTCAAGCACGACACCACGAATAAAAGTGGACCACGTAGCTAGGGGGTATAGTTACACCCGAGACAACGGATGAGTGGAACTTCGACATGGACCGTGTTGAAATGAGGAATAGGTGAAATAGCGGGCAGTTCCAGAAGGCCTAGTGGTAATCTGCAACAGCGAATAGCAAATGTGGTTGCAATTTTATGCGATGCATAAATAACTGCCTACTAAAAAGTCCATAATATTTTCTTCAATCATTAGGCCCATTTGAATAATTTAAATAAGCTAGAGGATCACTTACATTAGTTCTAACTGAAAGCAGAAGTTTACGTTCTCACTGGTGGAAAGATTGTGATAAATTTGACATTTGAATAAGTCTGCTACGTTGTTGATAGAGACCCACGCATGCAAACCACTGCCTTCAAATCTACAAGAAAGCACCATATTTTAACGTTGTGGAAAATGGCGATTCTTTGCCTTTGTACTTTTTTGGCATAGAATGAAGTGATGCCCCTCAAGGAATAATTTGATACGCCTTATGACATCCATTCTAGAAAATCCCTGGAAATTTGAATTCCGGTTCAAATTCTATCCGGCTCATCCTGACTGTCTGAAAGATGATCTCACGCGATATTTCCTGTGTCTACAAATTAGGCAAGACATCATCTGTGGCCAGTAAGTCAAAATGCTTTGTTTTGCCCATAAAACCAGCTCTTCAACGCATATTTATTTCTGTGGTCATTATTGCCTTCCTCTGTTCCCTTAAGTGAGGAGAAAAAGTTTGCTTCTTTAAAATACAAAACTAATTTGATTAATAAGCCTCACGACGAAGGAGTCCTTTGTGCTTAAATCGACTAGTGTGGCTTTTCATCTGTCGAGTAAGTGAAGGGCATAGTCTTACAAAATAATCATGTTTTCGCCACATGATTGTTGGAAGAAATAGTTCACGAATAGATTACGTCCTATCAACTGTGCAGTCTGAGGCGGTTTCTCTGCAACTGCTTTAGTGAATAGGAATGAATTTAAAATAAGGAAACATTGCTTTTCAAGATCATTCATTGTACCTTCACCAATTATGTGGAAAACAGATCTCGACTTGTCCTTGTTTGCATATTGCAAAGCTGCAGGTGATGTAAATTTTGTCTTATGCATAGGTCCGGTCTATTCTCAAGCAGTTTTCATCCCCATAGGCTCTCACTTTCTGTCGACTGGTGGCCATTAGGATTGCAAAGATCTCCTAAACACTTTTTATTTCCTTGCAAATACCATATTTTTGCTTTGGCGATATGTGTTAGCATGCTGAGATCGGGTGATGGAACGAGATGAACTATCCAAGGCAAGAAAAAAGAATTTCCGATCGTCACTCGTACTTTACAGGTCTCATGTCACGGGATTTCTATCCCCCGTGCGAGCAAATGTCCGCAAAAGGCCGGAATAGCCGCTATTGCCAATGGGCGACCGTCGTTTTGCATTTGCAATGGCTAAAGGCGTGGCACAAACGATGCATCCCGACAAAGCAATTTTAAACATTCCATGTTATTAACAATGTCTTCCTTACAGTTTGTTCGTATTTCTTTTGGTCCGAATGAGGGCCTGAGCTCTGCTCAAATTAGTGTGCTGATTATTTGTATTTTCATCAGTAACTGACACTGATTATGAACAAATTTGGCCTCTTATAAACCTTTTGGCAAACAGTATCTTAAAAATTCATCTTTAGTACATTTGCGAAAGCGTTTAGAGGGAAGCACTAATGAGTAAAGATTGGGAATTTTGAAACCACTTTTAGTGCTTCTTTCTCATAAAAAATGTACCTAAATTGTCCCATAAATCATTTCTCTTTTTGACGTTCGAGGCGATCGGTCGATCTTTCTGTTTTGCATTCACACGATGCCTTACTCAAATACATTGGAGTTATCAATTACGCCTTCAGCGTTGTTTTTGTGATCGGAAGTGAATCTGACCGGTAAATTGTCTGCGAGTGCTTTTTCCCTTGTACATTTCTCCGAAGATTCCCACGGCATATGACGAATTAAGTCATGCATTGTGTATGAAGAAATGCAAATAAATTTTCGTGTATCCCGGCAAGTTTCGCGTGACAAATGCGAAACACCTTCCTGAAGCGATCACTTCAGTTCCAGCGTTGAGAGCTCCTAAAGGCAACTGAATAGATATAATCAGCAAAAGCACTATTTCTAGGAAGACTACGTTGCTTTATTGCTATGTCACCGCCCCTCTGCTTAATGAATGATTTTAATGTGATTCTGAAGTAATACATAACATTTGGGAGTTTCGAGAGTGGTGTAGCATCAATGCGTAGGGAAACTTTGAAGTTAGCTTAATTTCGCCCGTAGAATTAGCGCCATTAGAAGCCTACCTTAACGTTCCATAAACTTACAGCCTTATTATGTGGGAAAAATTAAAGAATTGCGTCATGGGTTTCGTTTGCTCTGCGATAATTTGAAAAATGCTCAAAACGTGGATGCGTATTTTTACGAAATCACTCTAATAACCTATTTGAATGTTTCCTTCCCTTTTAGACTACCCTGCTCTTTCAACACCTACGTTATCCTCGGTGCCTATGTTATCCAATCGGAGGCAGGGGATTGGGACGCCGAGGCCCATGAAGGCATTGAATACCTCTATAATGTGCCCTTTGCACCAAAAAATCTGCAAACCTCTGAAATGCTTATACGGATAGCCGAGCTTCATCAAAAACTAAAGTAAACAGTATTTGACGTTTTAGGGAGATGAATAAGTTGCATATCTCGCGTATCTACTAGCCTTGGTAGCGCTCTTTCACTTCCAATCATATTCTGGTTTAATGAGGCACTTACGTAGTCACAAATGCTTACATCAGTGTTGGGGCTCTTCTGTCCCCCCTCCGAGAAACGGATGCAAAGAACAGAGCATACTTTTATGCTATGCAAAATTTCATATCAACAGTGGAAGCTGATGCAGTAACTTGCAAGCAATCGACATGGATACCGACTAGGCTCTGTAAAAAAAGTTAGTTCATCACGATCTTGTAAGTCAACCTCACCTCAATAGGGCTCATTTTACGGCACATGATATTTGGGTAAAACAACCGGAAGGCAACTACAAGGCCTTCCACTGCATCACATGACGTGAGTGGAACTGGCACGAAGTTTCTATAACTGAGGTTTTATTTCAGCCTACCTTTCCAATAAGTTGCAGCCATTGGCACGCCTCAGGCGGAAAAACACACCTAGTCACTTCAAGTAAACTTGATTTAAGCGTAAATGTGCCGGGGCTTCATTGGTAGATTAAGAATATGTGACAGATTGCGATGTCTAGAATTTACCAACAAAGGTTACCCATTAGAGAGGAATTCATGCCAAATACAAGTGATGTTTTGATTTCGCACAAATTTTGGGGAAGAAATCGACTGTTTTTCTTAAGGTAATATTTCACGCTAATTGGGATATACAAAAGGGCTTGAGGGTAGGAGAGAAGTAAATTTTACGGTTCGAAATGTAGAAAATGCATCGTTCGAGAAATTGTGACCATCAACCTTTGAATAAAATCTCCATGATCAAATTGACACTCCAAGTTGCTCTATAAATGTGCGCAATTGGACAGAGAAGTCATTCTTTGCTAGCATTCCGCCCATTGTGCAACGGATGCTGTTTTGGTGAGTGACTTACAAGTGGAAATGAAAGAAAAGTAACACTGCTAGGGCCCCAGACTGAAACAACAATGTGCAGTGCGCAATGAAACTTGACCTTGCTGACTAAATCTTATCTGCAATTTCCGTCATTGAGGTAGCGCAGTGTGTAGTCTAAAGGTAACACCATCTCCCTTTCTGGAAGGCATGCATGCGCGCTGCGATTTTGGTGTTAAAATTTCCTCAAACCATCCAGCTTTACGCCTGAAGGCAGATGCGTGCACCTTCGCCCACGCCTTCGTTGGTATAGCTTACGGGCGATTGAGGGGCAAAGGTGTTAAAGCTTTTAGCAATTAAAAGAGTGCCACAGCGCAATCAGGTAAAGGGTGACACAGGCAAATAAGTGTAATGTAAACTGTTGTTTGTAGAGCCCTCTGTTTATTCTGGTACCTTGAAAGCGGCGAATCTATTGGCAGCTACACCAAAATAATGCAATTTTGATGAGTTCCGTAGGGCTAAGTGGATGGATTGTTGAAGATCATTCACGAAATGAGGGTGTCTGGGGTGGTGAGAATAGAGGACAAAAGTGGTTGCACAAAGCTTAACCGTTTTACAGATTAATGATTTGGTAAAATACTCACAAATGCCTTTTGACATCCCGCACCTTCTCTCTTTCCCACCGGGCCGTGGGCTTCCGAAGCCTCTGCGTTACTCTCCCCATTGATTAGCATGTGATTTCATTGATGACAAAGAAGGCTTCTAAATAATAAAAACGCAAAATGGCACCAAATAATGTGTAGGGATCAGATATATAACTTCGAGACAAAGAGAAGGCCAAGCTGGACATGAAGGGACATTGTAAGCCATAATATTTGCTATTTATTACATGGTTTTCCATTCAGATTAAAAACAATGCAGTTAGTTTTGGAGAAACTGAATCTTTTTCAAAATACTTACCAAACTTAGCCATATTCAATGACAAACTATTTTCCTCTTCATTTTCCAGAGGTCGAACACCAGAGCAGGCAGATCGCATGTTCCTTGAAAACGCTCGACGGTTGGCCCTTTATGGGGTTCATCTTCACCGTGTTAAGGTTTGAATCACTGATTTTCAGTGCTCTTTATAGTTTTACATCTAAGTCAAGCTGATCTTTACGCTCCATTCAGATCCTTTAGCACGCACTATAAGTGGCGGCTTTGGAGTCGAGCTAAGCTATCACGGATGCAGTTTGGAGTGGAGCCGTAGGGTCTGCACCAGAAAGCGTCACCCGTACTGCGTAGCAAAGCAAAGGCCTAATTTGTGCCAAAAGTTGAAATGATAGTAGCATCCTCTTTTGATGGGACGTCTCACTTGTCAAGGGATGATAAAGACGCAACTATATGTCACAGCGAATTTCAACCAAAATTTAATGCAAAGCAAAATATAACACTTTGTAAACGACAGTTTAAGCCACAGTGACATAAATTTTGCTTTCGGCAGAAGGGCGGGTCCCAAATTCAAGGAACAATCCCCTCCTCAACTAGCTGGGGATGCTCTTCTAATTTATGGCAAAGTTTTTACGCAGTGATAAATGTTGCACAGCTGTGAGTGCGAATTTCAAGTCACTAAGGCAGTATTAATGTATAAAAAAACGTTTTCAATCACACATTTCTTGATCAGTAATGAGTTTTTGATGTTTTGGTTCCAAGCAGTAACAACAAGGTTTGAAAGTCCTTTTCAGTGCATGCATGTCCCGATGCTTGTTAGCACAAACTCAGTACGTGGATAGCGGATCGGTAGGCACGAGATGTGAGAATGCATTTCAGCAAGAGATGTTGCTTAAGCAGGACTCCCTCCTTTCTTAATGACCAGTAGAGTGCGACTGCGTAAGCCGCATTTTAATGAAGTGGGGCTAACAATCGGGAAGGTTGGTTTTTGTTTCAAGTCAATCTCTTCGTTTTGGTGTAGTGCAGTTTTACGCTAATGCAATCCACTTCCAACATTTGTGATTTGTCTAGAGTTCATTCTTTTTAAAAGGTCATAAAGTCGTTTTCATACATTTGTTTATTGGTGGAAGATTCAAAAGTGGTTGACTAAGATTTTTATCAATTTTTGACCTTTAATTAAAGAGTCAGCCATTTCATGAGTTTCCCTCCCTCTGACTGTTAACCAAGAACCATGCTAACCTCAATTCGACGATGTATTATTATACAGCAATATATTTTAATAACTAAAGCTCAGACTTTGTCATCTTAAGTAAAATGATTTAAAGATTTGGGAGGAGTAGTAAGCTAGTTTTGCATCATTCAGAGTCCCACCGGAGATGATCTTTCTCTGGGAGTGTACCATTCGGGTGTGCTGGTGTATCGCGGTCGCCTGCGTATGCAACGGTACACGTGGGCGCGCATAGTGGAACTCTCACATAAGGGCAAGGACTTCGCCATGGTTGTGCGCCCTGTGATCTTTGATGAGTACATTGAGTCGCCAGGTGGGGGCTCAAGGCGTCGAACCAGTGTTTCATCCATTAAAGGAAACTCCGCTGCTGAGCGTGGAAATGCCAAGCAACGCTCTCGCTCTGCCAAGCCCTCGTCGGCCACCCAGCGCAATAAGACCCTCACCTTCAAGTGTCTCAACAGTGAACTCGCCAAGCGACTCTATGATGTGGTCATCGACCACCATACCTTCTTTAGGTGGGTACACTTTCAGCGTTTGGTCGGTCGGCATCCATTCATTTGAAAACCTAGTCGCAGCAAAGTTTAGCATGCTTGGTTTCATGCATACACCGAAAACACTAAATGGCATACAAAGCTAGACCGTATGTTTGCATCATGCCTATTCATTGCATTCGATAGTTTAAGCTAGCGTGCTAGCTGCTTTGCGGTGTCATGGTTCGCACTAATTAGCCTTTCAATGAATATGCGCTCGTTGGACCTTACTCTTGCTCGTTCGAATAACAACCTTTCTTTAAGACAATATTTCGCCATACTCTCTCATTTATTAACAGCGACACGTAGTGGGCTGCATCTAAGTAAACTAAGAGGTACATATTTCAACAGATTCTCATTCAAATCCATAACTAGGCTTTCGAGTTGGCCATAAATCGTTTAGGCTCAATGCCGGATCACAGTTTTGGTGTTTACGAATTAGTACCAATGTAATGCTAAGCATAGCACATTTCTCCACCTCCGATTTTCTAGGGTCTTTATTTTGGTTTAAAAAACTACTGAATGCTGTAAAAATTTTATTGTGTAGACTTCGAGAAAGTGGCAGTTCAAGACGGCTAAATTTGCAGCCCGGCTTCGGCACAAGAAAGTACCATTACAACAGTCGACCTCAGATCTTTGACGACAACGAATCGGGTGTCTGGACGCTCAATAGAGATGGAGGACTTCCACCCACTGGCAGCATCCGTCGCGTGGCTGCTCAACGAAGGCCGGAGCAGTATGGTCTGTCTTTGCCTTTATTACCAAAGAACACTCGCCCTTTTGGCTATTTTTGTCCAATGCATTATTTTCGATGGCCATTCAAGTAGTAGTTCCTAAATAGCATTGCCTGATTATTGGATGGCAATTCACTTAATGAATGGAAAAATATACAGTTAGCCGTTTTGGAAGGCTAATCCGAAGCCGAAGCTTTGTAAATGGTGATTTAGTGAAATTCGCGACTCAGATTTGAACGAGCACTTCTACTTTTCAACATGAATGTCTTGGGTTTAAAATCACTTTGCCATTGGAGGAACCATAAAAGGATTGATGCTATCTAGCTGGTTGGATTCATGGAAAGTCCAGTTTCTTCAAATAAACCATATCTGACTACTAAAGGTGCGCTCAATTGGGGTCGCTGTCATCTTTGCGAGGCTGAACCCACAGTTGTGGTGTAAAATGTGGCTTCAGTGTTTTGATCCAAATATTGCATGTCCGTTTTATAAGTTTGGGATAAACGTTTGTTGGAACAAAAGTAGGAGTGCAATATTGGAATATTTCCTAGCAATTTCAATTTGAATCCGGCCTTGCAAGCTAATAATTACCCTTTTCGATTCCTCTAGCGAAATCGCTCGTCACACTGATGACTCCAGTTGCATCCAGAAAAGGTGGGTTAACCCCTTCATATTGCGGCTGTAATCTACCTCGTTATAAGTCACTTTTACCACATCTATAATAGGGCTTAAGCAATTGCAATCGCTAATCTCGAAAATTAGTTGAGATCAAGCTCAAGAATTATTCGCACTCTATTCTTACCCCAGTGATCCACTCCGGCCACTGTCCTATTTATGCAAATTGGTCAATAAATGCAAATGTAAGTATGGACAACTTGTCCCGAATGTCAAGACAGATACACTTCTTGGCGTATTCAGTCAACAGAACTTTCAAACGCTTAAGACAATACCAAAGGACAACTAGTCCTTCTTTTAAAAGGAACAGGATTCCGGGCTCCCTACGCAACCGTAGAAGACGCTGATAGCATAAGAAATGGCTATCAAGGGGGTGTAAACACAATTGGGCCCCACGAGTCGTCAGTGTTGATGGAAGAATCGTACGCACCTGTCAAGTCCTCTCACATCACTACCCCGGTCACCAACGCCGCTCCTAGCAACTCCGTTAAGTCTCCTATGGATTGGATGTTTGCATCGGAACGCCAAACCCAGAGGGTTCGTCGGATGTCCCCACCACCGAATGTGACACCTCAATTGCCACGACCTGAGCTTAGCCGCCAGCACTGGCAAATGTCGCCCGCCGACTGTACACAGGGCCTCGGCATGGACTTTTATGGCACAGACGTGGCTACCATGATGGACGCCGGATGGCAGGTGGGCTATAAAGGAAGCTTGCTATTCGAGATTTTGAAAAAAAGCCCTCAATCTACACAGTAAATTAATGACTTATGTAGTTGGAATGGGCTTTCATTGTTGGACATTTTATCAGAAAAGCATCTGTATAGAAGGTCACAAAAGCTCGACTTCATAGAATGCAATGCCCTTGTTGGGACTGAAAAAACGTTATTTTCAGTAACATTGGTTTTATCAGGAATACGTAGCCCTGAGAAGTGCTGACTACGATGAAAACGATTTTCTGATCAACTGGAAACAGATAGTGTCCTTTCAATGGCTGAAGTGATCGTGCATGTGCGCAGAAAAGTACCGTTATAGAGCTAACATGCAAAATGGGTCTTGTAAGTTTGCGACTCCATAGTCAACTTATTCTATACGCATTGGCTCTAAAACTGTTTCTTTGAAAGGCATTAATCTTCTCCGTGCATCGCTTTTTGGTAATGAAGTGTTGAGTTAACCACGTCTGTTCCGTGATATTGCTGTAGAATTGGGTGGAGAAGTCAGCCAGCTTGCCTCTTTTGCTATCACTGCACCCAGTCTGCTGGATTATGAAGTAATTTTGGTAAGACCGTTTCTCTTCCTTGCAGGGGAGTCGTACAAATAGGGGAATCAAGGGACCAGGCGCCTACTACTATGAAGTGAGCGTTCTTGAAGATGGTGATGTTCGTGTCGGCTGGTCGACAAATGACGCTTCTCTGATGCTCGGAATGGACTCACACGGGTACGGCTACGGGGCTGCCGAAAATGGTAATCACTTCCATAATGCGGTTTTACCTTCTGATTTGTCTAAGTTTGCTATTTGATGGGTTTTGTATGTGTGCAACATTTGGGTCGCCTCGAGGCTCCAACCGAAGTTTGGTGGATAAGACCCCGCAGCATGTGTGAGTAAGCAAAGAGGCACGACATGCAAGCACAAGCCTGTATTCTAGTTGTTACAGGTTGCCTGACTTTATGTCGCTCAGTGGTTTTAGCCACTCATATTTTTACCAATTGCTAGTTTTAACTTCGTAGTGAGGTTTAGCTCACTAGAAGTGAATTTAAACTCGATTTCAGTCAATCAAGAAGGATTGCACAAGAGCGCGACTTCTAGAATGCACGAAGATTTATCACAAAAGTGCAAACCATCGAAACATCCAAAGGCACCGTATTTTAGCAGATGTAACAATTTCTTCTTTGCTAATGCTACGCAAGTTTAACCATTTGTGTGCCTCAAATGAGAGGAGGGAGAGCGTTATTTGCATTTGATTTTAACTTCAATACAAGCTTCCTTGAATGCAGACAAGGTTAATATGGCATCGTGAAAGGATTCAGGATTAGGGACATAAATACATTGGCTTTAATAGAAATTTGCACTTTGTCCTGCTATAGGTGAAGGTTCTTCCATAAAGCAGTCGACAATGGGAAGACTCGTTCACAATGGAAAGGCCCACGAGATGGGTTTCCCGGCCTCCGTCACTGATGTAATCGGTTGCTTCCTCCAACTGCAAAAGAGTTCCAGCGGTGACGGTTTAGAAGGCAACGTAATGTGGTCACACAATGGCCAGTTGGTAACCTCTCCCCACGCCAACCTTGTGTTCATACCACCCGAAATCGCCACTGAATCGGCATTTTTTCCAAGCAAGTGAATTGCCCCCACGGTCGACTGATCGCATGCCTTTCGCACTTATCACTGATGATTCAGTGCACTTTGTAGGCGTGAGAAAACCATTATTTGCGAGTAAGAGAGAACTGAACCAGCAGCACGAGTCAAGACTAAAAGTAGCTTTGTAGATGCTTATGAGGAGATTCTGTTTAAATGTGAGTGAGACTTGTAGACTTCATTAAAGATTTTGTGGTTTCCACCTCTTCTTTATTCATGCATCGGACATCCTGAAAGTGAAGTTGTTGAATACACTTTTTTTCACCTGTAATCACCTGTAATCAAAGACAGAAGATTACTCAAATTTTATGAAGAATGATTTTTAAACTTGGACTTCAATTTTAGCACAAGCGAAGCCTGATGTGTTGTTCTTTGTTCATGCCATGAATGACAGCCTAGATAAACCACTTGACTACTCTGCGAAAGTCCACTTGCTTTGCAAGGCTGTGTAATGTCCCATTTGGGCATCTTAGTGCCCTTCCGCCAACGCGGCGTCCAAATCTCTTGCAGCCTACATTAGCAAGCAGCACAGGTGTCACTGAGACAAGCATTCCAGTCCCTAGTTTAATCTTGAAAGCAAAGAAGTTGGATAGATTTGATAAACATTGAAGCGACTTGAAGAATTGGAAGACTGAAGGCTTTTAAGGTGGGAATACGCAGTAACATGTGCTTAATTGTGCTTGTTTGCCTTTTCATTTTCAGCTGTATCTTTGCGGGATGCTCGAGTATCGTTGAACTTTGGTGAGAAGCCATTTGTGCACGCTCCTGAACAGATCTCGGGTGGACGGGTGCGGTGGATGGCACCTGTAGAGGTGCCTGTCGAGCAGATGGTACAGAACACCAATTCTGGTTGGCGTATCAACCAGTTCGACACAACGTCTACTCTCAACCTCGTCATCTCAGAAGACGGACGTATGGCTCAGGCCAAGGAAAACGAATGGCAGGGCTTCCGCGCCAACAAGGTGACTTATAACAGAATCACGATTATCAACTCAATACCTGACTGCAAATAATTCAGATTCAGGTAGCACATTCGTTACTTTCTGTAAATTTAGAAATTGTGTACTTGGGTTTTAGCCTTTGAACTTATAAAACAAAAGGAATCAGAGGTTTAAAATCTTACTTAATTTATGACATTCATGTATTGAGTGGTATTCTCCTGTAAATGTGCTCTTTTCTTACACAGGGCGTGTTTGAGGCGGGCAAGTACTACTACGAGTTGGAGATGGTGGAGGACTGTGGATACGCGAGGGTTGGCTGGTCCCTTCCCACTGCAGACCTTCAACTTGGGGCGGATAATCTTGGCTACGGCTTTGGTTCCGCTCCGGATGGTAGTCCAGCAAAGAAGGTCTTCAATGGTGAAGTTGAAGATTACGGCGTCGTAAGTGGCCATCCTGCGTTGTTGTTTAAGCTTCCGTTCATGACAAACAAATAGTTTCGTAAAACTTTTTGATTTAAATTATGTCATTGTTATGAGCGACACCTCAACCTACAGTTCTTTAGCTCTGTCAACAAAACTAGCTAACCATCGCGCTTTTTCTTCAATCGTTCCATTGTTGCGTTAAGGGGTTGTCAACCTTTGAGGAAGACAATAACAATTATAGGATATGCTTCACAGCTTTGAGTGTTTCAGACGCCATTCTTCCCGTAGACTTTGGTGTTGCATACAAATTGTAGGTCTCTGACCTCTGGCAAAGTCATACTAAAAGATTTTATTCACGATCATCCGCACACGACCGTCACCAACTAATGCGGTTAGTGCGTAGCTTGCCTAGGAATAATCGGTGAACCGTTTGGTCCTCAAACAAAAACTAAAACACACAAGCTATTTCCCACCAAATGTCAGTCAACACTCCTTCTTAAAATGCTAAAGTTCGAAATCACTTGACAGGCTTCGAACCTCCTCAGCCCAACTTATTTATGTGTGGACAAATTGTTTTTCTCTCAGGTTGAAGAGTGCCCGCAATCTTTGACAAAATAATCCCAAATTAGCAAATCATAGATGCCACAAATCCTTACCATGAAGAAGTGCTGGTCTTCCGTACCTTAACACCCCTATATTTTAGCACACAATTTTGATGTCGCATTTAGCGACCCATTTTTGGAAGGCGTATTTCGTAAGCACCACTACTGAACCTTTGGCATCAGGTTGAATTCGTGATTCAAATCTGTCTTGAGCATTTTATGCATGTAGTTGATAATGCAGATCTACATCTGCAGGTTGCAACAAGCCCTTGCAGTGAGTGATATCGCAAACCACACTAACTTTTCCGTCACTTGATAAGTTGGCATTTCAAGGCCGTGCTCTGGTCAGACATTTGCATCACCCTGGGACTGTACTCAGTTGTTGATGGAGTGATCAGTCTTTGTGTACTGAGGCCCAACTTAGAACCGGTTGGCACTCCATTGCATACATATGTGCAGTTGGCTGGCAAGCTGTGCTGATCCACGCCCTCCAACGAGGTGTCCGTTTTCAAGTTGCAGCGTTCATATTTGTTAGAAGGTTAATTTGGGTGCAAAAAATTAAACGAGTGAAGCCACAATAGCTTCGTGGAAGTGAAAGTAATACTTTTGCTTGTTTCAAAGAGGTGTTCATCCCAAAAAAATACTTTTGCTTGTGCTTACATTGACAAGTTTCAAGCAATGATTAGTCGTGTATTTGCTAGTTCCCTTTAATCGCTGCCATGTCATTATTTCTACTTCCATACTAAAATACATAAATGCAATTGCTTGTGTTTGCAATAAGCCGTTGGTTGTTTACCAGACGCAGGTGTTGTAATTACCTTTGTAAAAATTACTATTCATGGTCGAAGCGTTTTGGTCCTGCATTAAATGCTGTAGAAAGTGAAGGCTGGTGACGTGGTGGGCTGTTTCCTGGACCTCGACAACGGCTTAATCCAGTGGTCTGTAAATGGTGAGGTGCAACCACCGGCCTATTATATGGACTCCTCCTTTATCACCCACGACAAGACCATCTTCTATCCCACTGCTTCTCTCTTCTGCACCACGCTGGAGGTCAACTACGGTGATCGACCCTTTAAATATCAGCCATCGGTTAGTGTGTGCATTTGAACCGCTCTAAACATCTGGAAAAAATCAGTTTAATGTAACCTTTGGTGAAAAGGATTCGGCCCCTTTGATAAGAGTGTCTGTTCCTCAGATTAAAGCACAAAATCCTAGTTCGACCATTTTACACAGAAACCCCTCGTAGCTCTCCTCATACGTCATGTCATTTTGCATACTCTGTGAGTTTCTGTTTCTTGTTTTATAACATCAGTTGTTTATACCGACGTCATTACTTTTTTATCGCCCCTCATTTTCATCGTCAATGCACTTACCTTTATATTATTGAAGATCCGATACAACTTGTTTATAAACGTTGATGAGTAAAAGGGGATTTGTTTCTCTACAGGAGGAATGGTATCCTCTATTTGCAGCCGCGGATGAATTCGTGCAAGACTCGCCCAAATGGCCTGTTGACATCAATGCAGTCTGCCAGCCACATGTAAGGCATAGGAAGCTATTTTTTGCCTATGACCTTTTCGCTGTCATACGTAATTAATGTGTATTTTCCTCTGTCAGTTAGTCACTACACATTTCCACACTGAAGACTGGTCATTGGATATTACTGCCCTCACTTATAACACCATGCATGTTGTTGACTTTATTTACTACTGACGATTTACTCACTGTGTTCCCCTTGGCCATTGTTGATTACAGTGCCTCCAACCGGAGTCTTAGGATTAAGTGAGGATTGACGAGTATTTATGTTGTGAGCCTTATTTGTGATCTTTGACTCATTCGTTAGTGCCTCCTCTGGTATCCGATTGAACACTTTGGCTTGAGTGGAATTTCCGTCTCAATTGCAGAGTATAATCACCTTTAAGTTTATTTCACAATTTAAATGGGATAATGGTTCACTCAGGTAACTTTTATTGAGCCTTCAAACCGTCTATTTGTCATCAAGGTGCCAGCGCTGACCACGGAGTTTGGTAGAGGGTGATGAATTGATATGGGACGCATAGACTTTACAGTGTTTCGACCAAACGAAGACAGAATGCGTCTCAGCGTCACAGCAGAAGGCTTCAATAGGATGTTTATACCTTTTTTGGAAAGGAATCTATTGCATATTGCCTATTTAGCAAGAATTGTTTTTCATTCTAAGTGTGTGTAAAAGACTATTTATGAACAAGTTTTATTAATGGTAGATAAAAAATACAATGCAACAGTTCATTCTGAGCTCTTCGTTTCTG